GTGCTATGCATATTTCACTATAAAATGAATACTACATTTTAAAAAAAATGGTGCAATTCACTAAAAAATAAAAATCAAATCATATCAAAACTAAACCTACCTATATAGTCTAGTATTTTGGCAGTTGCGCGCAGAATAAACACTTGGACTATCTGTAGTACACAATTGCACACATTAGTAGGTGCCTATTTAAATGAACTGTTTGACAACATTACTAAAGCGACGTGCAACAACATTTATTAATCGCAACAGTATAATGGTATAGGTATTAAACACAATTATTATTACACGTCGTTTATGATCGGCCTTCGTGCGTTGTTGTACTATAAAATTAAAACGTAAAAATCGATTTACACTGTTGAGAGTTATCTATTAGCCATTCACAGTTGAAATGCGGATATAATATTGTAATATTATGCTTTACTGATAGGTAATTATTAAATTACATAAGGTATATTAATACTTATACACAGTATCTCATTTCGTATTAAATTGTTTAAATTATTATCATAAATTACCTATCAAATGTTTATAAAATGTATAATATAATAATAATAATATGTTATTTACATACGTATTGAGTATTTATACTACAAAACAGTTACTAACCTATGTCCTATGATACATCGATACTCCGACGGTGAGGTACTTCGATTATTAACGTAGCTTTGGCACTGTCTCGTGACGAACACAGTTTGACGTTGATATAAATTGTCTTTCGAACACCTTTGATTGCACGACCTTAAATAATTAGCCAACAATCAATTATATACATATTAATTAATTTCATTGGCAATAGTATTTATTATAAATTTTTCACAGCATGATTTCACTTATACCTTCATGTATGTTATAAAGACTGTGTAAAGACTGTACGAAATAAAAATATGTCGTTCAAAAATATCATTGATGTACATCGAAAATATAAATTATGATTAAATTCATTTTGTTGAAAATTCCAAGCAAATTAAAATAAAAGTATATATTTTTATGATATAATTGTGATTAACATTGTGAATTGTAATTATTGAACCTATAAAAGTATTAAGATCAAATTTTTTTTCCGTAAAAATTGAATTTTAAAATGTCAAAAAAAGTCAAATAAACACAAATAATATTTTCAAATTGCAAAAAAAACAACTAAAAGGTAGGTAACTCTTTCTCAGCGACCAACTTACTAACAAATTATTGATCATGGCAGTATTTAGAAAGACGGACGTTCAAGTTCATATTTAGTGATTAAGAGGATTGCAAACGTCATTAATTTTTCATAAAAATAACTTTAGAGGCTGATAAAAATTATGTAATTTTAGTGGTTTGATTTAAAAAAAAGTGAACATGATTGAATTGGTTATCAAGTATTAATACGCTACGCGTTGCTGGGTATTATTTTAATTTTATCTATACGAAAACAGAAACTTAATTTATTTTAAATTAACTTAACTAAATTTAAAAAGTTAATATTAACTTTTAGTAAACTTCTTAGTTAAATTAACAATTTTGAATTGACTTTATTTAGATTTAAATTTAACTTTCCTTAACTGAGTTAAAAATATCATTAACTCGCACAGCCATGCTAATTATCATTTACTACACACAAAGACGATCAATGACAGCAAGAAACGTACGAATTGCCTATGCCGAACCCCTTAACAATTTTCTATTTGCAATTCCCTTAATTTAAATGATTTTTAAGACGTTCAAATATTTACCATTTAATAAAAAATTTATTGATAACATTTTTTCTATTAAAATATTCCTATTACATTTATTTGCTTTTACGAATTCTAAAAATAAAATATGTGAAAGTCTATAGTACACGACATAAAACTACAATGGTATTATGATATCCACGATTTTGTATTAGTATTTTAAAGATTCATAAAAGCAAAATAAAAAGCTGGTAAATAGATGTCATTCTGATGTACAGTAAGTTTGGTCAATTTCTACAACATCGTTACCACCACTGATTAGCTCGAAATCACGGTATGCAATTTTTAGACCAACGTCTCTAAAGTATTCGGTGTAGGCTATTACCGTTTCTGTAGACACTTTAACCTATATTATTGATATTTTACATTATAAAGATTGATTTAAAGTTTGTAGTTTGTTACCATTTAATTATTTACATACTGTTATTTATTAATTAGAGAATATTATATTATAAAATTTAAAAATTAAGTTTGAATAAAATAATTAAAAATTGTATTTAATAAATTAAAAATAAATAAATTACTATACTTAAGAAAATGTATTGTTATCTTGAGGTATCAAATAAAACTATCCATATTTTATGGTATAAGTATAATAGATATACTTACTTCTTGATAGATTGTTGTTGTATTGACTTTAGCCACCCACAAATATATAATTTGGATAATTTTATTGCAACCTAACTCTCCAGCCGTGTGAAGGTCAAAAATTATTTTTTGTCGGATTCAACCAGTGACTGTTTGAACACTCCATACGGTATCAAAGTTTCCATGTTGCATTCAAAATACGATATAATAGTTCAGCACAATGACATTCAGGAACATCAAAATCTCCAGAAATGATTAAAAATTATCTCACCCTGCTTCCCAGCTAATCTTTGCTTGCCGTCGGGAAATATTGAAAGCCGATTTAGTTGGAATAGTGTATTCATAGCCAATTTATTTATGCAAATTATTTCCAGAAACGAAAATAGTTGCCAGTACACACACCGTTCACATGCGTCGATTATAATGGCATTCATAGCGAATTAAATTTAAATAACTATTATCAATACCTAAATTTATATTTAGCTTGGACCGTTGGAAAACATTGTTATCAATACCATAGACAAGGCGATGATATTACAACGGAAATATCCAACCACTTTAAAATAACGTAATTATTAAATCGGCCTACTGGCTACCACACGATCCTGTACCCATCGTGCGATAATAAATTCATTTTAAATTTAAAATCCAGACGGTGATAAAAAGTAAAAACACTTGTTAGACTTTGAAAAAAAATCGTATTTGGATCAAAGATAACGTCGCTCGTCGGTGAAGTTTGCCGTGAATCAAACAAAGTAGGGTGATTTTCGCAAGAAATCAACTATATATTATTTTAAATATGTTTCCCTAGTATTATAGGCCTATTTGAATATCAGTAATCATGAAATTGTCATCCCTTTTTTATATTCATTTTCACAGACGTTTCATAGCGGGTGAAGAATTCGTAGTAAATAATGCAACTATATAATTCAAGTATAGTTAACTTATAAGTAACATACTTGATTGAGCAACCATTAATACATACGAAAGTTTATATTGAAATGCACGAATTGGGATGAACTAATGTTTACCGCCTTAACAGGATTTTAGACCCTTCGCGGTTATGAGCGACGACGACGACAACGATTTGATTTATCTACGCCACTACGGTTGAAGGCGGCACTTGCAATTAAGTGGATGTTATCCTAATGTCGCATAGGTACTCGAACTAACCCCAATCTCGATCCTTCTCCAAACGACCGCACGCGAAGAATATAGTGGCACAGTGACGCGTACACGGTGTGTCCCATAAAACCCTTAAATGAGCGACGAATTTAACGCCCGCGCATCTGTGAACAACTAGAATTACACTCGGCCACCGACTGCACAACATTTGCAATGCAACACGATTTAAAATAGTATGGTTGTCCAACGGACGCTTTAGAAAAATGTTATCACGCGGCGTACGATTTGAATCAACAAGTCACGTGATATATGACTGTTTCCGCACGTATCTCTCATATCGGTTAAAATGAAAACTATTAAAAATGTTGTATTTAAATATAAATATACCGCAGATAAATGTATAATAATCCTATTGTATTTTTAATAATATTCATTATTATTAATTAATTAGTTATATTATAATTTAAAAATTACTAGCTGATCCCGTGCACTTCGTTGCCCGTTACAAATGACAACTCTATATGAAACTCGATGGTGATAATGCGAGCAGTGCCTACCTGCTGTGGATTACTGACCCCGCTTGATGAGTAGTGAGTACTTTATATAAATAATATTCAGCCAAATCGGTTAGGCCGTTCTTGAGCTATAAATAGTGTAACTAAGGTGACTTTCTTTTATACATACATATACTATATAGATAATATACAAAATTACATTTTCAGACCATTTATATTATAATTTACTGTTCTTTATTTATACCAAATGAACCACCTATTCACATCGCTCTACAGCGTTCTACAGTAATTGGTAACCGGTATTGTTTCGAAAGAATATAACAATAGACAATAATATATTATGATATAAATATATATTTATGTAGTAAAATATACAATGTATTTGGAAAAAATTGTAAAATTAATTACTACAGTAGCAATATACATATATCATAAAATATACATTTATGTGCTGAGTAATATAAGTAGGCTGACAGACAGTCAACGCTCAAAATCATTTATTGTATGCTATTATTTATCATTAAATTCAAATTAAATGTAACCCATACATTACATTATTTACAGTGACTTACTCAATAACAATGGTACACACGACACGTACTGTAGGCACTGCAGCAGAACAGTTATCTACTTCCCCCCTTTTTTTTAAATTACTAGGTATTACGGATCATGATGTCAGCATTAAAACTTTTAAAAACTCAATATATTATATATATATTTTATTCAATATTATCAAAGATCATGATTTATTGTATTCCATTATTATTTCTATTGATCTAAATTAATCAGTAAGTATTAAACTAGTAAATTAAAATAATATGTTTTGGTACTAGATCATAGACCAACTAATTATAAACTATAATAGTATAATATAATCTGCAAATAAAATTAGTTACATAATTGACGATTAACTGGTATTATAGTATTATATAATGTATTAAATTATACAATTTCAATGAATTATCTATATTTTTCTAAACTCTACTTTACTATATAAATATTACAAACTGTAGAATTATATAATTACTTAACTATCTCATTATAATATTCAAAATCCTTTTATACTATATTATGGTATACCTAATTAAAAATAAATACAAATTAGTAATTACCAACTAGCCACGTCAATTATTTTTTGAAAATGTTTGAAAATTTGACATAGTACTTCATTACAATTAAACAGACGCAACAATGAACAGTTAATGTTTGAGTATAAATACTTTTAAGTTTTACTTATTAGGTACTTACATTTTTTTATGTTGAAAAACCATTATAGAGATTTAGCACATATATTCTTTTTCTTTATTATTCGTATAAAAATTTCCTTTACACTTCTTTACCATATAAGTCTATATAATATATATTATATTATTATATACCTACCTATATCAATGGTTTAAATATAATAGAAGTATTTGAGGTCAATCAACATAAATATAAGTTAATTTTGTTTCCGTGTATAAATACTGAATCAAAGTTCAGTTTTATCTGAAGCTTGGGCTTTATTCAATCCAGACAACAGTGGCAAATTATTCCAAAATTCGTATTCATCAACATAAGGCTTCTCTTTGATTAAAGGAATACTTGTATTAATTAAAACAAATGCATATTTTTTGGTGTTAAATTTCGGCCACTTTTCTCCCTTCTTCGTGCCATCAATTGTGATGGTGCTAAAACAAATTTTAAAGTGTTATTAAATGTATTTAACTGTGTTCCTATTCATAACCAAACAATCATGATAACGTACTCGGTGGTGGCGAAATTCGTCCATATGTTCACCATCAGATTTGATACACCGAGGTCCTCCCCCTGTAAGTCTCCACGACCAGCTGTATAGAATAGACTGGTCACTTCGTCAGTGTGCGTTACGCCTAACTTTTTTGGAAACGGATATGGTCCATACAACGAATTAAATGATACATAATTCAAATGATCGTATATGTAATAATACACTGGTCGAGATAACTTGGTTGCCATTTGAAAGACACCGTGTAAAAATAGCCCTCCAGAAATCATCTATAAACATTATAAATAAAATATTAAACTAAATTTCTTAAGGTATGACTGTTATAAATCATTATAGAGTATGTTTACTTTTTTATTATTATATACTTTAGACGACCGTCAAAAGCCATTACAATATAATATATTATATACCTATACATATATTATTAACTTTCAAACTGTATGACTGTTTTTTACAGAATAGGTTAAAAAAGTAACATAATATTAAATATTTATTACAAACCTTTAAAATACATATATATTCAAATTGACTATTTGAATTGTATTAGAATTTAAAAAAACATTATATCACAACTATTTTTTTTTTTCATTAATAAAAAATAATTGTTGAAAACATTTTGTTATTTGACACAAGACTAAGACTTACTTTAACAGCACTCAAAGGATCATTCAAAGTCCCGTCAGGAAAGTATCTTTCAAATATCTTGTCACCAGTTATTGAAATATCTGAATACTTTGTCGTGTATCTATACTCTAAAAATGACGATACGTAATGATCAAAATCTTCTTTTAACTCAGTGTACACAAGATCAGTTGCGTTATACATTCCTATTTAAAAAAAAAAAACAGACCAATATAACCTTAATATATTTTTAAACAAATTATAATTGAAGTTCCTCTAAAAAAGTTTCGATTCTCAAACATAACATTATTCAACATTATTAATTAATAATAAAATGAGTAATATCATTCTGATTCTTATACGTGGTTAACATTAAAAATAAACCATGATGACGAGCATAAAACATATATTATATTATTCTTTACCCACCACACATCATCCACAAGAACAATAATTGGGATATTCAAACAATTTTAAAACGATTAAAAACTGATAAAATAATAGGAATTTATCAGTTTTTAGTTTACACAATGTCTACCCGTCCAACAACCAAAGTACCCAACGGGTTAGACAAAAATACCACCAACAATCTCAGGCAGTGTATAATCATAATTACTTACGAGAGGCAAAAAGACCACCCTCTCCTGAGGTCATTCCTATTAAAACTGGAACTTTTGAGATTTGTTTAAAGTCCAATAAAGGATATTTACACAAGAACGATTCTTTTTTTTTATTACATTTTTCAACAACAGCCGGGATATTAATTATTGGATAATTTCTCCACTCCTGTAAAAATAAATAAAATTTAATACATCAAAACATATAATTGGCCATAGGTTAACGACTATGATTAATGATGATTTAGAGATTCTAGACTAAAATTTAGATCTAATGTGAGATATTCAGTAGTAACCCCATGGTGGAAAACCCAAGTGCTTTCGTGTCATCGGTTAAATATTTAATTAGTTTAATAAATATAGGTAAAAAACAAACAGCAAATTGTGTCACAGTTTTGAACTGAATATTCAATTAGGAAAATCAAATGTATCTTTTTATTTTGTTACAGTAAAATGATCCCACCGACAAAATATATTTTGTTACTTTCTGATTACGTCTTAATTGAACAAACAAACATAATACATAGTCCATATATATTTTATATTACGTGGCCCAGAACAAGGTACCTGTATTCGGTTTTTCTTTTTACAAGTAAAAAAAAAATTACTTACAAATAAATTGTTGTATACATTCACCAACACTTTAGCAGGGACTTCTTTTAAACATTTAATCATTTGTTTTGGCTCTTCGGGACATCCAGTAATAGTAGAAATGGCAGACGCTCTTCGTTTCGCCCATCCTGGGGGAGATACACCCCAAAGGTTTAATGGTGATCCACTTTCCATGATTGCCTTGTGAAACAACCCTACAACGTTTAAGATTTTAAGTATAATTGTACAATGAACTTTTAATACACTTGTATTAAGACTTAGGTATGTATACCTTTGCTCAAGGGTGATAGCAAATGTAAACCAACACAAGCACTTCCAGCACTTTGTCCAAATAATGTAACTTTTTTTGGATTTCCGCCAAACTTATCAATATTTTTTTTTACCCATTTTAATGCTAACACCTGGTCTTTCAAACCATAATTACCAGGCAAATCATCGTCTTCAGTACTTAAAAAACCTAAGATTAATAATTAGAAATAAATATTAAATAAATAATATCATTGTATAGTTACTTAAATAAATAATATACCTAGAATTCCAAGTCTATAATTAATAGTAACCAGGACTATATCCTTGTCTAACAAATATTGAGGACCATATAAACTTAAACCTCCTGAACCCGCAAAATAACCTCCACCGGCAATCCAAAACATAACTGGAAGCAATTTTCTATCACCTTTTAGTGGTATCTATATACATAGTATAATATTGTTATTAAACAAGAATTGTTTGTGCATTTTTTTGAGATCTAAATTTAAATGTATTTTATATAATTTGATTACTTTTGGAGTGTACACATTGAGATACAGACAGTCCTCTGCACCGACAAGAATATCAGCTTCTTGATAATAAAACAAATTCTTCTGAATACACACTTGAGGCTCAGTAGTAGCATTTAAAATACCTACCCATGGATCTGCTGGTACTGGATCCTAAAAACAATAATCTGAATCACATATTGATACTGGCAGTATTAAGGAGTTTAGTATAGGCAATAGTGTGTACAATAAGTGTCACGGAAGTATACCGATAGATTGTTTCAATGCTCATTCACTACTGATCCAAAACTTTGTTTATACTCTCGCACATATCCATACAGTAACTTAACAAGAATGAACGGTTTCTAATTTTTTTACTTTTCTCGTTTACGAAACACAATGCTATTTTGTATGATTTACCTGAAACCTAAGATCTCCAGTTGGTGCTTTTGCATAGGGTATTCCCTGAAACGTTTTGAATTCTCGACCATTTCTTGTTTTCAAACTACTACCAGTCAACTTCCCTTGGTCTAGTTGTAACACTTCATCCGCACCAAATACGAAACCGAAAAATAATGTACAAATAACAAATATCTCCATATTTATCTGAAATAAAAATATTTATCATAATAAGTAAGAAAATAAGAGGTAGACCTAAATTCGTTTGTTCTACAGATAATTCATGTCTTAATAAACTCAATTTTGATTTTTTTGTTGTAAATCACTAATCAATAACAGCAGGAACTAGACATTCTCTTAAAATATAATATATTTTATCATGTAATAGATACATGATATACATTTCAAAATATTGTGTTTCTTTTTTAGCTATTTATAGGAATTTTAAATATGTTTGACATTGTTTAGTTCTATTCACATTTGTCTACGAAACGTCGGTATACGTCAATATTAACAATATAATCATTATAATATTATTTATTATACAATGTGAAATTTTTAGCTAAAATATATTAAGCACTTTCAGCCTATCTTATACTACTAAAAGAAAAAATATTAATAGTAATTTTAATAAATTAACATTGCTAGATATTTTATGTGCTAATAAATAAATATGTAAAATGACAACTTGGTTTTTATATTTTGTATGATTGTATAAATACCTATTTAGTATAGTTCATTATCAGAAAGTAGAGGTAATAATTAATAATATCACTAAGTACCAAAATTTTCTATTTTGAAATTAAATGTATAAGCAAATCAAAATTCATGACTGAATACTGCAGTTCATCGTGACAATTCAAATTAACATCGTAGGAATAAGTATAATAACTTTTCATTTATGAGCCAAATATATTGTATAACTAGAGTTATAATAAAGCTTAACACTAGGTCTCTAACAAGTAACAATGCATATTTTAGAGACGGAAAAGCTTATGAAGAACATAATACATAAACTAGTCATTAATAAGTATTAACCATTAACAATTCAATTTACGATTTATAAATACAATGTACCATGTTTAGAATATAAATATACAATAAAACACTCGTATTACTCCATACACAATAGAAACATAAGACTTACTTCAATAAATATCACTTGGGATTAATATTTGCATACGCAAAGCAATAGTTTATGTAACAAAAACTCACACAATATGTACTGGGTATTAAAAAGACGTGGTCAATTCAATAAATTAAAAATATTTATAAAATGTAATTAACATATTCAACATTTGGTCCGTGTACTATAGAAATAAAGTTAGGCGCAACATTTATATTCAAAATAAACAAAATATGAGTAGAACACTGTAGTAAGTAACATTTATATTATATATATAGTCCCACTTTGTAGTAGTCAGCAATTGACGCACCTATTAATTAAAATAAATCAAGTTATTTAACTATTAAAAAACTAAATCTATCATAGTAATTTGGCTAAAACTAGGGTTAAAAGTTGAAATTAAATGATAAAAGTAATAAATATAAATTATCACTGGTCAAAAATGGTCAATTAAGTGTATGCATAACATTTGACTTCTATATGATTAAAAACAAATTTCGATAAACCTTTTTAATCTACACTTTTCTATAGTTATATGTTGTAATACCGAATTACAAACGTAATTAGAACGACTGCATACTACAGTTTGGTAAACAAATTAAAAAAAATTAAATATCAAAAACACCAAAGAAACTTCATCTCATACAAAAAGAGAAATGGACGAATTTAAAAAATTTAAATCGAATAAAACAAATAAACATATTGTTTATTATTTTTTTTTTTTGTTAATTAAAAAACATTATTACCTACCTATATTTAGAAACCAATTCACAGTTTTTAACTTCATACTTGAGTAATATGAAGACAGTCATAAGACGAAGCTTGTATAAACTGAACAAAAAATTGAATAAATGCTTTTAACGTAATTCGGAACCAATACGGATATCCTTCACAACAACTCAAAAACCAATTCAAATGTACTCTCGTATCAACCCGGCAACCAATTCGGAAGTTTCTTGACAAATTTTAGAATTCAGGTACACTGGATTTGATAAGGTGCTTACATCAAATGAATAATAAACAAAATCATGAATTATGTTCTTATTTACAATTATACATAATTACTAAAATTAATATTACTGTTATAATAAAAACATATTATTTTATTTATTTTTTACTATACAAACTGCTAGACACTTAAAAATTATGTGCCACTGACAATCCACATTGAAGTTTTTAAAATTAAAATTTTTCATTATTTACATATTTTCTTTGAAATTCGTCAAATTATAATAAAATGATTAAATAGGTAGGTAGCATATTGGTATAGTTTTTTATATTTTTGGGTATATATAAGTTTATATGTTATGCATGTATATGTAAATGTTTATTGACAATAATAAAAATTATGACTGAATAATACGACATTCTATCGTCAATCGTTATCAATGTTGGATAGTATTACTTAACACAAATTTCAAAGTACTGTAATGATATTACTTTTTCCATAACACCAGAAATTTCATTTTATTTTATGTAAATTAACACAATTGTAACAAAATAACTTTTAATAAGTTCGAAGTTATTAAAATAACTTATGAATATAAAATGTAATATGACATCGAAACCTAGGAGGCCAGTATGTTTTTGAAAAAGTAAATTCAATTAAATTTACCAATGATCCCAAAAATTAGAAAATTTAGAAGAAAATGTAGACTTTTTTTATAATAATAATCATCAATATTATTAAAATTAACAGATATTAAATAAAAGAGTTTAGATTCAAAAATAAAATTGAATTCAAATTAATTATGACTTATGAGTGTACCAAACTCTAAAACAGTAATATTAATTATTATTATTTGACATTTATCATTGATATAGGTACGTGCCTCGATGTTTTATGGTTATACCTTACTTCACTAATCACCAGATAAGCCTTATATTTTGTTAATTTATAACATTCACTCAACTATGTACATTTTACCTACACCATTAATGTTATACTATTAGTTTTAGTTTTATTGATTATAGTTATTAGTGATTTTGTAATTTGAATTTATAATTTTTTTTTTTTTAAATAACTATATTTGTAATTTTTTTTTTTTTTTGATGAAAAAGTCGTGCCTTACGTGATAAATATAATGTTGGATAACATACATGTAGTTTAAATAAAAATATTTAATGTAACGAGTAACGTAATTGCTAAAAGGTTGCTAAATATTGGCACAAGTCCGAAGTCGGGGGGCTGAGTGAATTTAGCGCCTTAGTTTTATTATGCCGATTTTGGTCATGAAGTCATAGGTTTTAAATTTTTTAGCGTTGGTTAATAAAGGTAGCTAAAAAGTTGTTGGCACTAATTTGGAGTCTTTATGACAAAGTCGGGGGGCCAACTTCATGAACGTGAGTGTACGTACCGGCAGACATTACTAGCTCCCGGATGGGTGACCACCCGGGTTATTAGAATCACATCCATGCCACACATACATAAAAACACGTGTTACAATCCTACCAACATAAAACAACCTACTAAACCTATACAAAAAAAACCCTATTTTACTACCCCAGACCCAATGGCCTATGTTGCCGTGGGTTCCCACAATATAAAAACAAATATACAGTTGAGGTAAATTGATCAATTACAAAATTGTATAGTATTAAAACTAAAATATTTAAAGTTCTAAAAGTCTACAAATTTTTGTAAGAATGATGCCTAGTATTATGGTACAAATATGCATTAATGCATTTTGAAAAAATCGTGAATTATAGTTAACGTTGTATACTAACACAATATTGTACAATCAGCAATCGGCGGTAGATGTTTATAGTTGATGGCTATTCTCGGTTCAAATCAAATTTGTTTTGATCTCCGAAAAATTGAGCTCTATTTATGGTCAATAGGTGAAATAGGTGATGTATAAATAATAATAATATATTATTGTTAAAACTATTACAATTATATCTTCAGTCTGTTGACTTTTGCACCTGAAATATTTAATTTTAGATAAATTATAACCATATATACCTACACTTTAAATAGTTGTTATAGGGCCCGAATTTTGAGGCAAGAGTTCTTTTTTTAATAACCATAGAAAAACAATGTTTATATAAAAATATGTTCGATTTAATATCTAAGATAATTTATGAATATTTTTTTTTGGCTTTTTGTGTTAAATTTTCAATTGATCTAACAATTTTATGATATACAACACACATTAATTTAGATGAATGTTCATGTATCCACTATCCTGAATAATTACATTTTTTCAAAAAAATTGAAAAAAATTATTTTTTAAATCATAAGAAATACTGACCAAAATTTAAAACAAATACAAATCACAATAATGTTTTATGTGAGCTTCTGAAGTTTAAATGTTGTCAAAATTATTTAATATTCACGCATAGAATAGGTAACGATTTTAGTTTATTTTTTGTAAACAAAAAAGTATTAATCGTAGAAACTTAAAATATTTCACTATTACTTAAATTAGAATTTTCTATACTGAATGAACTTATAAAATACTAGATGGTCCCATCCACTTCGTTGGCAGTTAAAAAGCCAACTCTATTTGAGACTCACCTTTGATAATGCGAACAGTATATTATCAGGTAGGCATCCACCTGCGGTGGATTGCGGACCCTGCTTGATGCGTACTCTATAAAAATAATATGTTTCATTTTTATTTTTATTCATTAATTTTTATTTTTATTTTGGACACGCTGATGACCGGCTATGAGTGCAACTCAGCCACCTTGGTGGGCAATGTGTGAAAATTCGATTTGATGCATGCTTATATCTGATCCACCCGATTAACCACTGGCAACCAATAAACAAAAAAAAATACCAATTTCTACCAAATATATTTATATTTTTTATATAACCAATAGCAACCATTTCGAGACAAAAATTTCTTTCGTTAATCTCAAAATGTTAGTTTACAAATTTGGTAGTGGGTGAAGGAGGATAATAAAAAATAGCCTATGACCTATTCTTAGATCTATCAAATAATAAAAAAAAATGTATGGGAATCGGTCAAGCCGTTTAGGAGGAGTTCAGTGATATACACACGTACAGTAGAAATATATATTTATATATTATAGATAAGAACAGGATTCAATATAAGCTAGGTTATATACCTGGCTGCAATGTATATGGGCATTTCAAACATTTTAAATTTCTTTTTAAATAGGAAATGATAAATTTGTATGGCTTGGCCAAACATTTTGAAAATTTAATATAAGGTTCTAAATAAATTGCTCTCAATAATTGATAAATATTTTAAAAACATGAGAACTATTTTTTCTTTTGAGCATTTGAAGTTAACATTTTGACAGAACTCGTCAAAATCACAATAGTTTAAGAATTGCAATTATAAATCGTATTTATTAATTTATAATCAAAAATATATAAATTATTCAACTTGTATAGCTAAGAAAAATGTAATATGAAGTTTCGCATGAGCAGTTCATATTTCAATGTTTCAAATACACAATCAACTACAAATGAATTAAATACACCAATCTAAATAATTTAACATCAAAATTGTAACCAAATATAATATATAGCTGTATATCATGCCGAATATTTATTTTTGAGTTTGATATTTATTATAGTAGAGTACGTAGACGATATAAATAGATACATTAAAAAAATAAATGTATGCGAATATAGATTGACAATGTATGCGAGTGCTGGGTTGAGATGTTGAGATGTAGTTTGTTATTACACGGTAAATGAACACATGACGCATTGTTCCTACAGATGTTATCGACCGAATCATTTTCCGTTCTACTTTTGGTAAAGCTAAAATAAATTGTGAGGTGCCTGGGTGGATGGATTTCTAGTAGCCAAACCCCTCCTATTTCCCTCAAAGGGTCTTATAATCGTGTAAGTCGCTGCAATGGTTGTGGAAATTTAAATCCACCTATAAATCATTGCACAGATAGATCCATGACCTTTTCATGTTATCAGATTATTATGATCTGAATATACATAATTTCGTTACAATACGTGACGCACTCAGGACTATAACCTTAACATGGTAAAAACACTCAAAAGTATAAATTTATACATATTTCATCCAACGATGACGTACATTTAATTTACATACAGATCACAGACGTCTCGTACAAAAAAGTGTTTAGATTTAGTTTTAATATTATACGAATTCCGCCGATAGACCCTAATATAGGTATTAGATAATAGGTATACGGCTTAGAGCATATTAAATATTCTTCATGATGCAGATATAGGACTGAAATACACGTGTGGGGGTGTAATGGGTTTAAGTGTAAATTGTTGAGAAGTTGAGTGCCCGG